TTTATCCAATGTCCAAATAGTGAATCTCGGGTTTAACACTGCCTCCTGCTGGATGGTTCAGTTACTACAACGGACTGTCTGAAGTGATTTGAATCTGGTTGGATGTGAAACACATGAATGTTAAAACTCAATCAAAGATGGTCGGGATCAGTGTTGCCAGATCTGAGAAAAACAAGCCCTGAAGGAGCGACTCGTCTCTTTTTTTTAATTCACTGAAATCTTTTGACCACATTGTGATGCTGCTAATAGAACAACTACACACTTCTGTCAACAGATGGAGACATAAAAAATAGGAGCAGGGTTAAAAATCGTCCAGCAGTTTTTTGATATTTTCAAGTTAATTTCCTGAAGAAAAGCAGCAGCGCCCCCTGTGTTGTAATTCTGTTCTGAGTGTAAAGCGTTCCCTGTGTTCACAGAAGAACAGTCCATTGAATGGTCCTGTGTTGGGGAAGGTGGGCCTGGTCGTAAAGAACCCAGACTTCAGCTTCTCTGAGAACAGAGCTCTGAAGGTTCCCAAGGTCAGAGACGCACACACACACACACACACGAGCTGCATATTCTTAGCTGCAGATTTTGTGAAAATATAAAAAAATAATTGATTAAATTAAACTTTTCTAACTCCCTCATCAACCATGTGACTATTTTTGTCAGTATTAAAAAAAAAAAGAAAAATTAGAATCTCTAAAATATATACATGTGAACCAAAAAATGTGTTACTGTTCCTTTAAGAGGCTGAAACTGTAGTAACAAAACTTGTGTCTCTGTATATTTCTTTGTAGATAAGCTGACGTTTTAATCAATCAGTTCTGACTGGAGGTCATCTGTGGTCATCACCATCATCCCTGCTCCTCATCCTCGTCCTTCTTCATCTTTCCTCATCTTCATCATCTTCCTTTATCTTCATCATCTTCCACACCCTCTTGCTTCATCTTTCCTTCATCTTCCTCCTCCTCCTCCTCCTCTTCTCTCAGCAGGTCTCTCCCTCTGTATCCAGGATGTGTTTCTCTTCCGTCCAGGGAGTCTCTGTGTATAGACCTGACGACACAGCATTAATGTGGTATCAGTGTGTGTGCGTGTGTGTGTGTGTATCTGTAGTGTATCGTCAGTCTCAGCCAGAGCAGTCGAATCGTTTACCTTCAAATGAACACAGAAATATAACAGGTCTATGTCTCAGATCTGGTTTTCCTGACTGGTCAGATCAGTGGACCAGTCTCCACATCACTGGTGTCACTGGTGTCACTGGTGTCACTGGTGTCACTGGTGTCACTGGAGTCACTGGTGTCACTGGTGTCACTGGTGTCACTGGCTCTCAGCCGTCTGTTGATGTCATGTTCTACACACTTTATACTGGCATCTTATTGGCCACTGCATTTTCTGTAGCATGTAGGAAATGTGTTTTTTTATTATTTTTTTTCTCGATCTAACAGATTAGTAGCTTCTGAGTTTGATAACTGGTACGATGTGAATAGTTGTTGGGATCCTGCTGGTGACCAGTGAGTCGACCAGCAGCTTAACTTTCACCTGAATAGTTTTCTAATGTGAACATTTTACTGAGTTTTAACATCTTTAACCAAACCACTAACTAACCACTGCTGACTTTGTCAAGTATTTTAGATTAAGTTAATTTACCCACAACGTCTTAACTGTGAGATATTTATTATTTTAATATTTTCTTCTGTTTTATTTTTTCTTTTACTGCACCAGATATTTATTATTTTAATATTTTCTTCTTTTTTTTTCTTTTACTGCACCAGGCAGTGATGAGAATCTTCATTTTTACTGAGTCAAAATGGAGTCGACTGGTTGGTTAGGTTGAAGGTTGATGGTGAAGGTGGACGGGAGGGTTTTTGCAGGTTTTGAACTCGAAACATGGAACGTCTGGAACCATCGATGATGTCATTGATGATGTCATCAATGATGGTTAGACAGGCAGATGAACTGTGTCTAATGGTGAACTCTATCAGGTGTATTTGAGGGACTGCTGAACGGTGTGCTGAATAAGCAGCTGTTCATGGTGTTGATGGGTTTTTTTTGGGTGGGTGGATTTTGTGGCTGGTTTTATTGTTGATGTTGGGAAACGGACAGTGGTGCAGTGGATGTTGATGTAGATGGTGGTTACGGTGCTGATGTGACAAACGGACGGTGGTGCAGTGGATGTTGAAGTGATGGTGTTGTAGATGGTGGTTACTGTGCTGATGTGACTCAGGTGCAGACGGAAACTAATGTATTTGTTGATTCTCCTGCTAAGAGAGCAGATCAAGTATTTTTGTTTTTGTTTTTTTGGTTTTTTTTTCAGAGTCTGTGTGAGGTTTCTGTACCTGCTTTGTGTTTTACACGTGGAGCCTCGTGTTGGAGACCAACACCAAAAGTGTTACAACATTTTCTAAAGCTTCCTGCTTCCACTTGGTGCATTTTATTTATTCGGTTTTTTTTTCTTTTAAAACTACCAGGTCGTTGTCGTAGAAACACTGAGAAGTCTTAACTCGTATTTAACAACGTATCACTTTATTAGAGTAAAGTCGCATTCAAACATTTTATACCTTTTTACTGTAGAATTGAGTGTTTGAGAATTTGCAGCTGATAAATCCATGAACTCAGACTGACTTTTCCTTCTATATTTCCTGCCTCGCGACGTACAACAAGATGACTTCGGTTTTTTTTTTTTAGTTTTCTCAGCTTGTATAAAATGTATAAAACGCCATTTTATTCTTTACCAGCTAAAATAATTTTCCGTTAGTTGAGAGCATGCACTTAAAAAAAACAACAACACAGTCAGACTCTGTGTTTTTATTAGAGTGAATTCACTGCTGTTTAGTTACAAACTTTACATGTTTTATTCCTGAGTTTGCATTTTTTTAAGTTACTTGTTAAAAAGTTTAATTGTTACTGAAACACCAGCAGAAATATTGTCTTTAATGTGAATCCAGATCAGTCTGTTTGTCTCAGTTTGACATTTGTCCTCTCTGTGGTTTACAGTTTCTTTTCCTCTATAACTGACACAAACGTTCATTTACTGTGAAGGTGGAGACGAACAAATGTCAGTGTTGAATTTAAGCTCTATTATTATTTGTGGCCTGGTTTGTTTCACGGATCGTGATGTGACAACGCCTCAGATTTACTCACTGATGTCGATGAGATGAACGTGGTGCCGTTAAAATAATATTTTTTTTCCCCCTCTCGTGTTTTTTATGTTGTATTTTTGTAAAATTATTTAACGCTGTACATTGATGTCCGGGGCGTTTGTTCCGCTTTGGATTAAATTTTTTTCTAATATTTCCTACATATTTGTACAAAGTGTGTTTTTTTTGTGTTTTTTTTTTCATTTTGTTTCCAAAAGAAAATCTCTAGGGTTAGAGCAAAATAACTGCACAAAGTCATACAAACAAAAAAACCCAAAACATTTATAAACAAAAGTTTACCTAAATTAATTTGACTTTTTTTAAACATCTACTTTATTACAGGTATTCAACTGTATCCTTGAAAATTACATGTAATATCAATAGTGCTTGTTACCCTGTTCATATACCTGTAATACCCCATCCGTCCACACGAGGGCAGTGTTGTTCAACACAGCGAGTTCAACTCTCCAAACGGTCTGCCCAAAGAAGATACGTACAACAACGACACTTGTACTCGTGTGTTAGAGAACAGACTTAAACCGAGTCAAACCAGCCCAACTGACGACAGTTATACGACAACATTAATTTGATTTTAACAAACTTGTCTGAAACAGCCATTAAGTCTCTATCGTCCGTTTCGCGGTGTACTATGTGTAATGTCATTTTTGTAGTCGCGGAAACGTACGTTGTTTTTTTTTTAATTTTTATCCCGGTAGGTAATTTTCTAATTTCATTAATTCTGTCAATATCTGCGAGTTTGCCTGTTTTTCAACCGCGAATTCAAAACTTTAGAAAAACAAAAACCCCCAGTAACGTTAAAAATAGACATTAGCCTGTGTTAGCTTTATGGCTAAAGTAAAAAATATGTAGCATTGTTGACAGAAACCTACTGCTGTGAAACATAGGTTTGACCTTTCATGTGTACTATTACCGCTACGCACTATTTTATTTATTTTAATTTTTTTTTTAAAAACACATTTTGAAAAAAAAACTTTTTAATTATCGGTTTGTTTTTTTTTACTAAAGATGTATCTCTTCTGTTTAGAGAAGCTTTGATATTCCGGTGTCACATGACTCGTGTAAACCTGGAGGTTCGAGACAAAAGCATCTTCTGAGTTCCTTCAAAAATCAATGTCGAAAAAGCCATTATGCCCCCTCTTCTCTCCACCCTCTGCTGCAGATTATCACTGAACGAACAAGTCGGTGAACTCGTGTGCACAAAGGAAGCAGCCGCTGTCGCCGCCTGTGGCCAATTTGTTTTCCATCACTTCTGAGGAGCGGCTGGTTAAATTAACCCGTCACACTGGCTCTGTGGGGAGAAGACAAAGTGAGGCCCTGAGCAATAAGCACTCATGTGTGGCAGTAAATAAAAGCCCCGACAAACTGTGCCCTCCAGTCACTGGTCGTCTCACTGTAAACAAACGCCGGGAATCGAATGGGTTCTTCTCAGGATCTAATTATGAGGCCGATGATGCAGTGATGTCAACAGAAGGTGGAAATGCTAACTAGGTTAGCCGACGATGAAATGCAAGTAACGACATCATCTACGTACTGTGAACATCACACCTTTGAACACCAGTTATTTAATGAAAAGATCAGTGAGAAAAAAACAAACAACTTAAACAATTTAAAGCCTTTAGCTGTAGCTGAAAAACAAACAACTTAAACAATTTAAAGCTCTTTAGCTGTAGCTGAGATTTTCTGATGTTTGTAGAGATTTACCTAAAAAATATTGTTGTTAAATTTCCTTCCAAAAGAATCAAAAAATTAATTTTGTCAATACCAGAGTGCACAGTGCCAGAGCAGAAAGAAAACAACGATGCCGTGTTGTTGTTTTTTTCAATAAGGTAAAAAGAAAAAAAAAGTTTACTACGTTTTCCTCTACTTCAAACATATACATGTAAAGTAGAAAAATGGCTGGAATTTCTGCTCATTTTGTTTCATAAATACAGATCTGTCGTAACATATCAAAGTCTTGTCAAATATCCTTCTGTATTTGATTTTAATTTCATTCAATTTTTTATTTGCTGTGGGTTTTTTTTTCAGGTAAAACTCTTTGACTGAAGTTAAGGGAATATTTTAAAAATATTCTGTGGATAAAAATGCAAATATTTCTCCTCAATTCATTCACAGAATGTCCCCCCGTCCCACTCGGTGACACGGGCCCCACAGGTTTGACATGGTCCCGTGGACGACACTCTGATGGACAAGTGTAAAAGTATTTTTTCAGCCGACAACAATACGAGCCGGTCCGTACAGCAGGTTTACATCCTGTTGGCTCCACTTCACTGTCACTCCGACGGCTGGGAATTCTTTCCGCTCCGCACTTCCTCGTCCTGGTGATACGGTAAACACAAAAGGTAAAGGCTGCCGTTCCTCCTGGGGATTTCAAAATAAAAGAGCCAGACCGTATTTGAATTTCAAAGCCTCGTCTGTGAATTCATCACGGACTGAGTTACTGCTGTGGCCTTCAGGTCCCGTCAGTCTCACCGGAATCTCCGGCACCGTATGGTACATACACACTCCCCCCTCTCCCCCCCACTCTGTGTGTGTGTGTTTCTCCCCCGTCTCTCCATCATCTCACATTTATTGTTCTGTCTCTCTACAAATTGTTTCCCTCCTTTTATTTGTCCTCATATTTTCCCTGGAGCTTCTTCCCCGGTCGGGTGGAGGGGGGGGGGGGTGAATGTGGGTAAGAGAGATGTGCTGAAACAAGGCAACGAGAAGAGAGAGAGAGAGAGAGAAGGAAGGGAGGAAAGAAAGGGGGGAGAGAAAAGAGGGAGAAACAGGCGTCGGTGGAGGTGACGGCTCCCCCACTGCTGCTGTCACTGAATAGATGTGAGTTCACTCTGGGTGTGTGTGTGTGAAGGGGGGAGGGAGGGAGGGAGGGGTGGTGGGAGGAGTCTGAGTGCTGTTATTTGTAAAAGCTTTTGATTCTAGATTGCTGTGTGTGTGTGTGTGTGTGTAAGAGGGAGAGAGCCCCCTCCTCTTTATTCTTTATTCTTTTCTTTTTTTCTAGTGGCTCACTGTTCACTGCACAATGACTCAATGAAAAGTGGAGGGGAGAGGCAGGCCCACTGTACCCCTGAGAGAGGGGAGAGAGAGAGAGAGAGGCAGAGAGAGAGAGAGCAGGGAGCACACAGGAGAGTGGAAGGCAGAGAGGAGAAGGAAGCCGTGAAGCCGCGGACAACAGAAAGAGGAGGATATACTTGTCGTCTCCCCCCCCCTCCTCTCATTCTCTCTCTCAAAGGCCACTCTGGGATCAAGTGGCAGTCGTTCAGTTCCAGCTCAGCTCCACCAGGTTCTGCTGCTGCTGCCTTTAGATCCACCTGAACTACCTACTATACACTTTCTTTTATTATTATTATTATTATTATTTTTTTTTATTTTTTTCTCAGTGGTCTCTCAGTGGTCCGGCCTCCAGCACCTGCAGGGTTGTGGACTTCCGCGGGACGACAGGAAGGCCTGCTGGGACAG